CAAGAGAACGGATTCTGGAACAAAGAGGCGATATGAAGCAATCTGAGGTAGTACTCAGATGGAAAGGGAAGGTAGAGGGGGAAACGGAGCATGCGAAGGAACAATACTAAAAATAAATGCACACCGAGCGCGTTGTACTAAAATGATAGGGTACCGGAGTGAATATAGACGCAAGATCATATCGAGGGTTTTCAGCGCGGTAATACAACAAAATGCTTCTGAGATTGAGCACCAGAGCTTTTAATTCCACAGATCCATCTCTGAAACTGATTCCGTGTACTGTTAAGAATTGGTTGAGAAAGTTGACGCAGCTATCTGGTTAGCATATGCCACGGAGGAGGACCGAGTGAGTTGAGTGAAAATGATTCAAGAAACATGTTGCTTGCTGAATATAAGGTCACAATGCTTGTAAAGGTATGTACCAGACTGAATTGTGTTCCGCAAATCCAGCTTTGAAGCTGAATCAATGTACTGGTAATCTACTGATAACAATGGGTTAAGAAAGTGTACACAGCTACCTGGTTCGCGTGTGCCACAGATGAGAACGGAGTGAATTGCCTGGAAACAATTCGAGAAACATATTGTTTAAGGGATATTAGGTCACAATACTTCAAGAGTATTTACCGGAAGCTTAAGAATGACTAACCCCGATCATAAGTAATCCATGGACAGTGAAGCATTTTAGACCCAAATCAGGGCCCCAGAGGTTATGCTGGAGGACCCAGAGGCATTTTTCGCACTTCTGGAATCGCAATTCCGTGAGGCATCACCGGACAACTGTCGCGTTATCATTCGCTGTTGTCCACCATCCCGCGTGACCTGCTCATCAACTTCAGGGACATTTACATGAGTATCCCTGCGCACAATCCGTACGACGTGCTCAAAGAAGCACTCCTCCGTCGTATGGCAGTTTCAGAAGAGAAGTGCATTCAACTCCTATCAGGGATTCTATTGGGAAAGCTTAAGCAATCCCAGTTGTTGCGTCAATGCGTTCGTTAGTCGGCAACACTACCCTCGACGACTCCGTATTACGCCAGATTTGGCTTCAGCGGCTTCCGCCAAACGTCTAGAGTGTTCTGAACGTTTTCGTACACGCCCATAGCCTAGACCAACTAGCTGAGGCTGCTGACCGAGCAATGGAGCAGGCCCAGCTTTTTCAGCCCTCAATGGTGGACCTCGGGAGCCCGGAGCCAAGCATCGTTCAACAGACGCTCCCCAACCCTACACCCGGTAAGATCCCTTACGATCCCATGACAGAAGTGGAACTTTTGTCTCCGTAGTTGGCCCACCTTCGCTTAGCTTTGGCTACTGTGCAGACCACAATCAACAATCTGCAGACTCCCCACCCGACCCGTAGTCGTTCCCGGTCAAGCAACGGGCGTAGGCGAACCCCATCTAGGGGCTGTTTATGCTATTACCACAGACGTTTTGACAATCAAGCTAGGAAGTGCGAACCGCCGTGTTCGTTCAAAAATCAGCAGGGAAAGTAGTAGGCCGGCAGGTCATGGCGACCACCCCAACCGGCTCTCCCGCCCCTTGTCGCCTGTTTATCTACAGTTAATCGTCCAAGCATAGGTTATTGGTAGAAACCGGAGCACAAGTAAGTATAATCCCGTCCAGTAAACAGGATGCTACCAATCCAGCAGCACTGACTTTGCTAACGGTACCTCTATCCAAACCTATGGACAGCGGCTACTGAACTTAGGCTTAGGTTTAAGACGCGTCTTACCTTGAGTTTTCGTGGTCGCACGGGTTACTTACATCATACATAGTCTGCACATTTTACAGCACCACGGTCTAATTCTAAATCCCCGTAAGCGACATATCAGAGACCAAGTCACTTCTAGAGTAGTCGTCGATTCTCTGGTATATTCGGAAACGCATTGTATACATCTCCCTTTTTCACACGATGATTTACCATATGTATCGTTATTCCGCGAGTTCCCTAACCTCGTTTGCCCCAGCACCGAACTGCCAACTATCATGACGGAGGTGTCGCACCACATCGTGACTCGAGGTCCACCGGTCTACGCACGTGTCCATCGACTAGCACCAGATAAGTTACGCACCGCACGCGCAGAGTTTCAGCACGTGCTGAACATGGGCATCATACGCCCCTCTACACATGGTCCGCAAAGTCTTCTAACGACTGGCATCCATGTGGAAACTATTAAGCACTCAACCCGCGAAAATCCCGGAAAGGTACCCGATCCCCCACATCACGGATCTCACGTCACACCTTACCGGTAGAACTCTTTTCAGACGCATTGATCTGGTTCGCGCATACAAATAGATACCGGTAGCAGAAGCCGATATCTCCAAAACCTTCGTAGTCACACCGTTTGGTCTATTCGAATTCCTCCGAATGCCATTCTGTTTAAGCAACGCCGCACAGTCCCTCCAACGTTTCCTTGAAAACGTTTGTAGAGGTCTAGACTTGGTTTTTGTTCAATTAGACGGCATCCTAGTGGCTATCTCATAGAGCGAGGAACATCTGGCACACCTCCAAGCACTTTTTGATGATCTGGCACAGCAGGTTGTCACGGTCAGCTCATAATAATGTGTCTTATGTGCCTCCAACATTGATTTCCTCGATCACCGCATAACAGCCACTGGTATCGAGCCACTAGGTGACAATATTCAGGCGACAATAGACTAGCTGGAGCCAAGCACGTTTAAGCAGCTCCAACGTTCCAACGGTTTATTCAACTTTTATTTTCATTTCATCCTTCAATGTGCACAACTTACGCAGCTACTCACTGACTTACTTAGGGGTAAAGCAAAAAGCGTTGGTGTTCACACAAGCCGTCTTCTATGCGTTGAAACGATCAATCAGCAACGTCACAACATTAACCCACCTAGACCCCTCCGCCAAACTGGCACTCGTCACCGATGCGTCCGACCACGCAGTTGGCACCGTTCTCCACAACAAATGAGACAGAAATGGCACCTAATAGCTTTCTTCTCCAAGAAGCTTCAACCGATTGAGTCAAGGTACAGCACCTTTGGTCGAGAACTCCTGGCAATCTACCTCGGTATCCGCCATTTCCGCCATCTCCTTGAAGGAAGAGACTTCCCGGTCTTCACAAACCACCATCCTATCACTCACACCATTAAGTCTATCACTGACAAACTGTTGTGGTTCGTATTCGGACAAGTAATTCGCATACGCATCGGATTCCGCGCAGTAATAGTCCAGCCCAGAACTAGGACTCGGAATGAAATCAAAAGATAAAACTCAGCGACGAATGGAACTGTAATGATCGGAAATTCGGAATTTACAAGGATGTCATGTCCAATGAAACAAAAGAGTTCATACTTTATGAAGAATCACCACATCCGTCGGAACTTGGATGAAGCTCCGGTTTTCTGTAATCACGGCGGGCTTTGTTGAGTAATTGTTCAGATCGTCTGGGTTCTTCTGTACTGTTTTCAACTTTTTTACTGGGATGTAATTCCTCTGGAAAAGAGTCAGAAATAAAAGGAGTAGTAAATTTACAACTAGTATCAGGATTGGCCAAATTAAAAAATACCTGGTCTAACTGACCTGCGCAACCTTGGGACGCGGTACGTTCATAATTCAACCTCGCTTTAGGTTTGTGTAATTCTACAAGTTTTATATTCACTCCGTCTAATTATTTTGTTTCGACCCGTAAAACACTTTCTTTAAAACATCGTCCAATCTTTCTATGGCTGATAAAACCTCTCTCGGATTCTCCGACGAGGACACCTTCTCCATGAGGTTAGATGAGCCTGTGATAGACATGGATAAAACGGTTTCACAAGCCGAAATGCCAAGTATCATACACGAACAAGCCTTAGAACTAGAGAAGCTGAAGGCTGAAGTAAGTGCTCTCGGTGACCAGGTTGCCAAACTCAACGCCCTCATGCTGAACTTCCCAGTTCATTCGGTGGCGGACTAAGCAATCAGAGTCTCCGAACAGTAAATACTTTATACAGTAAGAATGTTACACGCAGACGCAACTGCTTCAAAAAGGGTTATCTTCTGGGGACATTTTCCGATCTCCTAAACCCCTCAGGAAATGACAAAGTTAATCTTTAAACATCTGAATACGATGATGTTGAAACCCGGCAAATGCTCGTGGCTTATTCCAAAGAAAAGAAAAACTCCCCTAGGCCTCGTAGTAGATATGGGCTCCCCTTCAACAACCCGTAAGCTCATCACGTTTTCTCCACCCCCAAAACGATCCTGCAAGGGACTCAGACGGGTATCGGTTGATGAACCCCTACACCTTAGGCTCCCTGTTGTGAAGCAGAACGCCCCCTATTACCCCTCGACAGACCCCAAGCATCTCCAAAGCGCCTTCGTACCGGTCATACGTCTGGAAACTGACGTAACTCACTCACAGCTCATCTCACCCAAAGTTTTCCCCTGAACGAAACTGTGGTCTGCCTCAAGCCAGTAGCATGCAGCTCAGCGAACACAAGTTTATGTTCTACGCACGCAGAGAAGAATCACAGAGAAAAGACGTCGGTGCTTAGGGTCCCCGGGATCACAAACCAGAAAAGCCAAACCCAGCCCAGAGCGATCAACGCCCCGGAGCAAAAAGGCCCCTCGTCCTAGCAAGTAACATAGTCGAGGGTAAAAATTTCCCTCAGCTGCTACTTCCAAGAAACTCAAGACAGTCCTTCCAAATCTTTCGAAACCTACCTAGTTTTCCAAAGCTCATTCTTTCCTTTCAACTTCCGTATCCACCCCAATAAGAAATCAACTTTTCGGATGGGGGTTCCGGAGGGTCGCCTCCCCAAACGGCGGCCAAATCAAGTTTGCCCATCCGTAAAACCTCCGCCTTTCCTGCACGTAGGTGTCCAACAGAAATTCTGACCGGCATCACACGGGGTTCTTTCCCTTATCTCCCCACCAACCTAACCCACCAACGCCCTCCCACACCTTCCCCTCTCTTCGCCTCATGATGAGCGAATTTTCAAATCCTTTTATTGCAACTGCCTCAGCCTCCCCAATACAATTCTAGAATCAAGGCAGCTTGCACTTGACAATAACCTAGACTTTCTGCTAGTGACAAAAACCTGGATCACAGTGGACTTGGCCGGTGGCGAGGTAACTATTCCAGGCTATTTCCCTATTAGAAAGACTCCGCCCGCGGAAGAGCAGGTGGGGTCATAATTTATTTTAAGTACCATCTCCCCCTCCAATTTTCATAAANCTTCTTGATGCGCCTAGTCTATCGCCCACCACAATCCAGTCTATTAGAGAATGAACTCCTGATAAACCAGCTTAGGTCTGTCACAGAAAGCAGCCAACATTCTCACCTCGTAGTAGGGGATTTCAATAATCCAGGCATCGACTGACAAAGGACGATCTCGACAGACATCTCTTTCGGTCGCCCTGTAACTGACCTTCTAGTTGAGAAATCCTCAACGCAGCACGTGTCTTTTCCAACCAGGTTCCGACAAGGACATACCCCATCTTTACTAGACCCAGTCATCACCAATGAAAGACATCATGTTGATGTCATTAACCAGCTTTCCTCCCTTGGTAAAAGTGATCAGGTCTTACTAACCTTTTGACTACATAGAAACCTGGAATCTGTTTATCGGTAATACACTATACGTTCATTCCTTCAAAAGAATAAACTTTGAGACTGTAAACAGGTTTCTGCAACTACACATTTGCTCTTTTTGTGAAATGTTTGTTGACGGCCTCACCAAGCACACAGAGCAGGTGATCTCTCTCGCAGACTCGCAATTTGTACCCCGAATTCGAAATGGGTCTAATGCTAACCCCCTTCTCCCTCACCCAATTTGCCGGCTGTTAGATACAAGGGCCCAGCTTTTTGCGAGATACATGTATACTCGCCTCACGGCCGACGGAGATGCTTTTAAAGAAGTTAGAAACTTCTGCCGACACAAAATTCGGGAGCATCAGAGGTACACCCAGAGAGCTATCCTTACAAATGCTCGAAACAATAAGCCTTTCTTGTTGAAATACATCCGTAGCTTGCGGAAACCCTCTCTCTGCCCCATAGCTGTCACCAATCCAGACGGATCAATTGCCTCATCCCCAACGGAGGTGGCGGATACCTTCCGATCACACTTCCAAAAAAGATTCAACTCCCCTTCGGTGCTCAATCACTCCATTATGTAGCCGCTAGATACAAATTCCTCCCTAGGATTCATTCTTTTCTCACAAGATAAGGCTGAAAGGGGACTCCGGAGCATTAATCCGTACCGCTCCATGGGACCTGATAATGTACACCCTAGGCTACTGGTGGATTCAGTTGGTGTACTAGCTGTGCCGTACACCCTTCTCTTCCAACGCAGTGTGCACGAGGGAACATTTACCACAAGCTGGAAAGAAGCCGCTATTTGCCCCATGTACAAAAAGGGCGGTAGACACTTCCCTGTTGCTTAACGTCCCATTTCCCTAACCAGCATCCCCAGCAAAATTTTCGAGCGTCCAATAGAAGACGAAATCCTGAAGCAACTTAGGACCAGTAAACTTCTTTCTCGTTTTCAGCACGGTTTTCTACCTGGCAGGTCTTGGATCACCAATATGCTGACTGTCATGGATAGCCGGACTAAAGCCTACTATTCCGGCAACATCTCTCACACCGTTTTCATTGACTTCGCGAAGGCTTTTGACAAGTGCTCACACGTCTCACTTTCCCACAACCTTGCGACACACGAGATTGTAGACCCCTTGCTTACACTTATTCGTAGCTTCCTCTCAAACCGTTCATTTGGTAATCGGGTTGGCGAATCCTCATCACAGCCCGGCCCAATAACGACTGGTGTTCCCCAAAGATCCGTTCTAGGTCCCATCCTCTTCCTTATTTATATAAATGAATTACTGGATGTAGTATCAATATGAATTGCGCTGTACGCCGATGACGACACCATCTGGGACACAGAAATTTCTTTTTCACAGACCTCAGTTGATGCTACAAAACACTAGTCACTGGAATGGAATCTTTCAATTAACTATGAAAAGTGTGTTGGAATGCTATTCAATGGTCACCTATCTCACCCATTTACGATAGAAGGTTCCCACCTTCTACCCCATGTGGACCAATAAAAAGTTCTTGCTTTCTTTCCAACAACCCAACCATCCATGTAAATCTCTGTTCGTGTTATCACACAACGTCCATCTCAGAGGGCACCCGCTGAAGTTGGCACTCCAAAAGAGCCGTCTTGACTGCAGACGTCATTCGTTTACAGTCAGAGTGTGCAGCACATGGAACTTTCTACCCCCTCACGCGGTCTGTGCCCCGACATTAGTATCTTTCAAGCGTCAGCTTGATGATGCACTGGCAATCATTGCTTTTCAACACCCAACTACATAATATATTCTCCTGCGCACGTAAAAAACATTACCTTACTACTGTAATTTCATGAATGTACTGTGTGTGACATTGTGAATCGTGTTCCGAACCAAAGTGTAAACACCCTATGGGATTTGAAAAAGCGAAGTCTTTGTAAGTTATATCCCATAATAAAAATTTGAATTTGAAATTTGAATTTGAATTTGAATTTGGTTGAACAACAATCTATCTTTCTCTTATCATAACCATCCAACAATTAAGGATGCTTTTCGTGTCCTGAACCTCATAGAAAAATGTTTCTCCCGTATTCTAAAGGACGACTTTCCTCTTATTTACGGAACATACACCCGCTCTCTCTTAGAATACGGAAGCCAAGTTGCACATTCTGATCTTATCTGAGATTTTGACTGCCTTGAGCGCGTCCAGAGAGCCACTAAAAAATCCGTCCTTGGATTCAGGGACCTCCCCTACTCAACGCGACTTCAACAACTGGGCCGTTAGAAATCAGACGCATTCGGGGAAATCTGTTTCTCCTCTAGCATCTCTTTTCGACAGGGGTAATGTCGAAACCATTTTTTGTCATCGCTGACTCTCAGTCTACCTGGGACCATGACAAAAATATTTTCAAGCCCCGTCCGAGAACCACTCTATGTGTCTCATTTTTTACCTTTAGGGTGATGTCCTTATGAAATGCCCTTCCAGAAGAGATAGCCAGCGCCCCCAGTAAGGCGGTCTTTAAACTTCGTCTTGACCGTCACTTAGGCTTATCTACTCACCCCCCATAAAATAAATTCTTTAAAAAACCTTTTGAATTATATGAGAGTTCGTAATTCATCATTTTACTTTTTGCCTCGAGCGGGGAACCCTACTAATGCCCATTCAGTACTCTCTGTACTAGAAAAAGTTTGAACGAAAACACATATACCTTTCAAGGACCGGGAACATTTGGGCAACAGCTTCGAACCCGTAAATCATATCCAGACTACATGTCTGCGATGTACAGTGCCATCATCTAGATCCAATATGCGACATACTATTTGTCCCATATTGTCCAGTACAATGCCCCTGG